AGTGTTCTGTGACCGGCAATCTTTCCTGGCGAGAGGTTTAGTTCCGTGTGTATACCACATGAAGGCCGTAAACATAGCGATCGGATTTTTATCCATCGTTGTATAGTTAGGGCGTCATCTTTGGGATTTAATCTCATCATGTGCAGGTCCATAAGGCCCACATGAGCGCGTAATTTTGAATTGAATATCAAAATTCTCCTTAGCTAACCTCCAGGTAGTAGATTTCGTTGTGTTTAGAAATTTCTGAAACCTTACAAGAGATGGCAACAACAAATATAATTGTTTTCGGAATAGGGCGATCCGAAGGTTGGATGCATCGACAAAGGCACACATTTTCGGTCCATTGCTTACCTCGGCTTTTGGCTAGGAGCGTCATTTCATTCATATCACGAGTAGCCCTCATTTTCCTCAGAGTAACGCCCAAAACGAGCACAATTAGCCGCTGAACCGTCACGGCGACTTTTCAGGACCCGGAAAGTGCTACTATATAGGCAAAGAGTACCCGTTACTCGATCTTTGCTATAGGTACTGAAATGTGATAGCAACGGTCTCGTTGGTTTCCACTATCAGTGCTATAGAGGCAGGAGTTGGAACCGGAATCGAGAAGACTCATATTCTAATGACATTTGGCATCGTTGTCGGCCATAAGAGCCTGTACTGTAAAATCAAGGTGAAACGGACTATAGTCCTAGGCACTATATTATCAAATATATCAAAACTCTGTTGTCATAGTGTTTGTGGCCGCACTCCTCCAAAACGGCTAGCTGGACCAATTTGTACGAATGTTTTTTGTACATTTGGTAGGTATGAGAAGAATGTCGGAATAGGAATAGGTCGGTAAGTATACAATGCGATCAAAAATGAGTTGCTGTCGAATCGACCTTTGGGATTTTTGTTTACATGGAAAATCGTACTTAACCTGAACTTCCAAAGGCGACTCGACAGCAACTCATTTTTGATCGCCCGTTATTTCATACAGCTATATTAGGTATTTATACAGCTCGCTGGACGGGCGAGGTGAAGACCGGCCGCAGCCGCTGAAACCGAGCGTATGTTCCATCCAACAATAAAACGAGATTTCCCAATAAAGGTTGTGCGAGGTTCGCGGGTTCTGCTATAATATTTATGTTATCTATATACCTACTATTTACACTCTTATTTACCTCCCGATGCAGAAGTAGGGGGAAAGTTTTTTATTCTTGATTCTTCTCATCATCCCTCCAAGACCTAAACCCTGTCAATATGCTGCTACAGACGGACGTTTTCGTACGCGTTCATGCACCTGAACTACCTCTGCTCCAGACGCACTTACAATTTCGCAGTATTATTTTGACCATGTCCATGAATTAGTATACTGTGCATTGCAAACGTGAAGTGCACTGCTGTGCTCCAAACGAAAATGACCAAATAAATAATTCAATAAATTCCCGCAGGAATTCGCGGGACAGTGTTCCACAATCAGACATTTATACAGGGTGACACTTTTAAAACTTTCAATGGGCGATATCGTTTTTTATATTAGAGGTATCACAAAATGGCCAAAACCGTTTCGGTAGAATGGAGGGGGAAGCAAAATGGTCGTATAAAGAAGGAACCAACTTCAACCTCGTACCCCCCGCCACCCCCATGACTAAATTTTGAATTGTGACGTATCACTTGATGATACATCATTGGAAAGCTCTTAAAAAATTCTTTTCAGAAATACCATACACTTTCCAATGTGATGTATCACGTCACAATTCAAAATTTAGGCATGGGGGTGGCGGGGCCATTTTGTGATACCTCTAATATAAAAAACGATATCGCCCATTGAAAGTTTTAAAAGTGTCTCCCTGTATAACAAAGGACAAAGCAAATTCAAATTAATATAACGAATACGCACAATTTGCATCCACACGTTGAGAAACGTTTTGTATGCACGTACATGAACGCATACAAAAACGTCCGTCTGTAGGGACCTAATGATCTGAATGAATACGAAAGCCAATTAGTGGAAATGTTATTCTAGCTCCAGCCGGCTAAATGGAATGCTGGCCAAAAATTATTAGGATTAGGCAATTACCAAGATCTAATCATCCACCATTATGGCTACCTTGCAAGGCACAATCAGCAGTCTGGCTCTTACTTGGGACTGGGTTACATAGCGTTAGCTAAAAGAATTAAGGTCGATTCTCACTTTCGTGCAAGGCTCGTACTCGGCACAGTCAAGGCACAGACTCGGCAAAATATCTATATTATTGAATCTTATGAATTTTTTGGGGTGTAATTCACACTATGCGAGCAACGACTCGGCAAGCTACGGCCTTTGCACGCAGCGTTCTTCCGAAACAAATGTTTGCCGGGCATGTACCGTGCACGTTCCGACAAGTGTGAATACAATCTGTGCAGGTCACCGACTTTCGTTCATTTTTCATAGTACAAGAAAGGTTGAAGGGTCAGCAAAGGAACACTTTTTCAGCGGAACAAGATGAGATGCTGATTGAATGTGTCCAAGAAAATGATTTCGGTCATAAAAGATACTTCTTATGCATTTTATGTACACAAAAACGTATTTTTATTTTTCTGCAATATGTACTTTCTTGTTCTTCATCATCTAATATTAGACCAATTTTAATTAACGTGAAAGTTTCGAACATTTTTACAGTTGAAACTCACGTAGAAACTGCTTACCTGCGGCAAGCGTGTCGCAGTGTGAATTGAACTCAAAAAACTTTGCCCGTGCCGGTTCTTTGCACGAAAGTGAGAATCGGCCTTTAAATTTCAAAAAATACCACACCAGTCAAAACAAAAGGGGATCAAAGAACATAACATTACAAAAAGATAAATCCTGATAATGTCTCTAGAATAAACATGTCACAGAGTTAACAAATAATATTATATAGGTATTTCACAGTTATTATGTTTTTAATCTTCCACTTTTTCACCACTATAGTTTTCCCTTGTCTCCTTGTAGTCGTCTACTGCTTCATTATCTTCTTCTACTGTTTCATTAATGTAATCCTCAGTTGTCTCCTTACTGGAATTGTTAGAATTACTAGCATTTAATTGCTTTTCTAACTCCAACCAAGGATCTTCCATAAAGGACGGATGTATATATTTTGACATACTTGAAGAATCATTCTAAAATGTAACATATGTAGCTCCCCAATTATTCACACATGAATACAAACCCTGCCACTGTTGAAACTACGGTTCGTAGATTTCTGAAAGTAAGAATTGAAGCTATTGCTTCCTTTAAAGTTCGGTTTCCGATGGTTCCTCGTGAAGCTTTGAAACACTTTATGCGGTGGGGTATTGTTGGGACTGTATCGGGGGTTGCCGTGTGGTCTATTATTGAAGTAATAGGGCGAGATATTCTGAGCTTGATTACCATACCATTGCTTCTGTGGGCTGCTACTAACTGTCGGTGAAAATTCTCCCACACATGAAGCGTCACTAAAAGCTAGAAAATCTGGCGTATCCAATCTATTTTTACCAGTGGAACTCTGATTTGAATCGGACATTGCTGTGACTACTGTTTATATTTAGACTTGTATTATAATAATAAATAGAGTGACAGTCTTGTTGCAGAAAATTGACGCAGGCCGTTGGCGAGTGTGCGCAGTAATCTACAACAGAACCGGCTTCAAATTAAAAGACCCTTAAAACAGGTTCGGCTTGAAAATAATATGGTTTCTCATTGCAACAAAAATTGAAAAACAATGTGTGGTGATTGATTTTGTTAACATAAACACTGCATCTTGAATAAATCAGACACATTACAATCGTTAAGTACCTACTTTTAATGCAGTGGACTACAATATAAAGCTGGTAAGAGGATCACAACAGAATCGAGAAACTTTTTTGAGATTATACTAGGTATTTATACTAAACATTTCACAAATGTCAGTTATTTTAATTAGCATCGGTTTTATTACGGAAAAAATTGCCTTTCGATTTCCATCTCTTTATTTTGAGCATTGCGGCCTGAAACCATTGATTATACACACCCGTATAATCACTGCTGAAACATTTAAATAGTTATACAAAAATTGCCAAACAAATTGCACAGCATCTTTCTATAATAATTGCTGCAATAATCGCAGCAATAATTTCTGCAAGAATTACTATAAAATTTGTATCGTCTAACATTGCCTTAAGGTTAGCAGTCTGTTGTTTGTGTATATCAGTGGATGTGTGGAGCTCCTTTTAAATCTTGGCTAAGTTACTCTTAAATCTTATTAACGCCACGCCATGTTAAGTATTCAAGAGATACTTCTTCAGATTCTTAAGTTTCGCACATTGTAAACGCGATGTGTGAATGTGTGTTTAACTGTTTAGTGTTGTCCTACAGTTACTCCCCTTTTTTCAGATTCCCCCATATCCTCTGTGAACAAGTTGGTCTGAAAAATTGGGAAACAAACCATTATAATAACCATCACCATCACCATCAAGGAATTGTTAAAACCTCCATTAAAACCAATGCTATTAAAAAAATAGTTTCTGTTGGAATTTTTTGTGGTCTGTAAGAATCAATCAACAATCTTCTGATTGGGTATTTTCCTGGGCATTTTTCAACTTCTTCACAAATTTTAATTTCTTGCCTTGAAGGGTATTCTAGTCCTCTTCGAAAATTAATGTACATTACCTACTTGAGATGATTCTATACTTATTACCTCTGCATTTTTTCTGTTTAAAAACCCAAAGTCCCTCAATTCTCGGCTTCATTCATCGTGGTAAAGGCATTCAGAGAACCCCTTTTGATAAAACAAAACGACATATTATAGTAGGTACATACATTGCAAATATTATACAATTAAAAATAAAATATGTGATGTTGGGATACACATCAATAACAAACAAAACATTACTCATCTGTCATCATCGTCGTAAAAATCAATTCAGGACGTACGTTTCCACGTGAAAATGGCGGCGGCCATGGTGTGCAAAAAATTGGATTCGTAGTCGTCCATACCCAATCGTAGCCTACCGATAGATCTAGTCTACTAATACTGATTGAGTGATATGTCTATGGAAAGAGTCCGACTTTTCATGGAGTGATCATTTATCGTGTAGAGAAAAAATATTTAGTGTGAAAAATGGCGCTCATATCCTTTACTGTTGAACGTGTATGAATATTGACTCGTATAAGTAACTTAATATTTTGTTTTACAACCGGTTACGTTTTCCACTTATCAATTAACTTTATTGTTACTATTAAATAAATAAACAACAACACATTTTGAAGAAGAATGTTTTGAAATTCGTCTAGTTTTTATAGTTTGTAGTTCAAAAGTAACGCAGTCCTAATGATGGCCCATTCGGGTGTACCTGCTGGGAAAAGGAAGGAGATTTATAAATACATAGCTCCATGGCCTTTGTACAGCATGAATTGGTCCGTAAGGCCAGACAAACGGTTTCGTTTAGCTTTAGGTAGTTTTGTCGAAGAATATAACAATAAGGTGCAAATCGTGTCCCTTGATGAAGACACCAGCGAGTTTTCCGCCAAGAGTACTTTTGACCATCCATATCCTACTACGAAAATCATGTGGATACCTGATAGTAAGGGTATTTTACCGGATTTACTTGCAACTAGGTAAGTTAAATGTATTGTAGGGGTGGGATCGTTTACTTAAGATGTTTTAGTGGTGACTACTTGAGGGTTTGGCGAGCTGGTGAACCTGAAACAAGACTAGAGTGTGTGTTAAACAATAACAAGAATTCTGATTTCTGTGCACCTCTGACAAGTTTCGATTGGAATGAGGTGGATCCTAATCTAATAGGGACTTCGTCGATCGACACCACTTGCACAATTTGGGGTTTAGAAACTGGTCAAATTCTAGGAAGAGTGAATCTGGTTTCTGGACATGTTAAAACACAATTGATCGCCCACGACAAGGAGGTGTACGACATCGCATTTTCTAGAGCAGGGGGTGGTCGTGATATGTTTGCGTCCGTTGGTGCTGATGGATCCGTTCGTATGTTTGATTTGCGCCACTTAGAGCACTCGACTATAATTTACGAAGACCCTGCACACACACCTTTATTACGCTTAGCTTGGAATAAACAAGATCCCAATTATTTAGCTACTGTTGCAATGGATTCGTGCGAAGTTATCATTTTAGATGTCAGAGTTCCTTGTACGCCTGTCGCTAGACTGAACAATCACAGGGCATGCGTTAATGGAATTGCGTGGGCTCCTCATTCGAGTTGTCACATATGTACAGCCGCTGACGATCATCAAGCTCTTATTTGGGATATACAACAAATGCCACGAGCGATTGAAGATCCTATACTAGCTTATACGGCAGCTGAAGGCGAAGTAAATCAAATACAATGGGGAGCAACTCAACCTGACTGGATCGCAATATGTTATAATAAATCTCTGGAAATATTACGTGTATAAAAATAACAGTATTTTATATTAATTTATTTATTAACTGTAAGAATTTTTAATTTAAGGAAAATATTTGCTTTCATAATGCACTTTTATACATTTTTCATATGTATTGTGTATATATAACTACGATTTAGGAAAATAAAGTGTGAAATCAGTAATTTATTGAAATCTGGTGTTGTGCAAAAAGAAATTGCAGTTTTAAATTAAAAAAAAGGTAAAACAGGCTGTATATTTTTTCGCCACCTGGTGTCCAATATATGAACTGAAATACAATAACCTTAAAAGTGTGCTCCAGTAAATTATTGAAAGAGTAAATTTTGAAATGAATGCCTTGCCGAAATGTGCTAAATTTTACATAACGACTCCAATTTATTACGTAAACGCCGGTAAGTCGAAAAATACTTGCTTTCAACGCCAACTTATTGATTACCTTCACAAAGTTGCGCACTTGCTTTTGGTGGTTCTATAACCGACTGTTTGTAGAAAGCGACGTTGCCGTGTTGATAAGCTATACTTTAAGTATAGGGAATTTTCTTAGATGATACAAATTTGTCCAAATATTGACAGATAAAACTTAAAAGTCATGTAAGTCTTATTTAATTCACACAATAATGTATAACATATTGTGGGTACGCTCCAAGCATATCTTTTAAATAGTTAAGATGTTCCTTTGAATGTAGAGTTTGAATCAGAGAATTTATCTTGTGAAGTACCATATATGGAGGGGTACTTCCTTAGGTTTTTCAAACTAATTAGAAAATCCTGCATTTTAAAGGAAAAGTAAATTGTACATTTAAAATTTTGGAACTCGCAGAACTTTTTATAAATAATGATTTTTTCACGAAAATTATACACCTGTATCCAAGATAAGAGTGTCTATCATGGCGGTCTCTGAAACCATATAAGACACGTCGATGGTCAAATTAGAGAAAAGATGCCCAATTAAAAAGTTATTATCATCTTTAAGAGTATAGAACACCGGTCAATTCTGATTACTTCCGAAGAAAAACCGAAATTTGCCGATATCCTGTTTTTGGATATACTTGGATATACATGGTATTTCAATTAAAGGTCTCAACAGAAGGAACCGTTCTCTACCAACTACCGCCCTGCCGGCTGCCTTCTTACCCCTAATCAAAATACGAGGTTGGGAGGGGGGCTGGTTTTATCCGTAACGGTACTGAAATGAAAGGTCCTCCCAATCAAGAGCAAATATCTTGAAAATGAAGTGTCGATTCTTCTTTATATAGCGTAGATTTTGAGTGTATGCCAAAAGCAGGCTTTAAATGTTTATGTGTCCCCTCCTCATTAATCATTTAGTAAAAAGGTGAACATCGATAAGTATATCGTGCTACCACCTACCCAACTATATTTACTAGGCTTTTTCCGAGTCGATTTCGGTTAAAAAAAATGTGCTTTATACTTTATATGCACAATTTATAGTGGTTTATCTTTATCGATGCGAGAAATTTTCGTATTACACTTTTACAATTAGGGAGAACTATTTTTTTAGATATCCGCACTTTTCGGTTTTATGTAATTAAGTGTTAATCTCGCCCGATTTTTTAAACTTTCTAAATAAATCCGTTTCGGTAATTCGCGATTCACATTCACTGTGGGACCTTTGGTGTCAGCACATTGTTAATTAATATTGCTGGGATGGCCATTTTGTTTGTTTACATTGGCCAAAACTAATCAATATACTTAGTAGTTTTTACGGCTGCAAAAATTTCATCTGCAATCAATGTAATTCTTAAAGAAAGCAAGGATAGTTTAAAACGTCCTTAATTTACACAACAAAAAATAGGAGATATTACATCATTCTTTGACACAATCCGCTTTGAATATCTTTGAATCACTGCTATCAGTGTAATTACGTTATAATTAATAACGTTCGCTTAAAGCGACACCTTTTAACACAACACCTTCTCAAATATTTAATTTGTGGTCAGTGTAATTTTTCTACTCACGGTAAGTATAACTTGAAGCGACATCTCCACATAATATGTTGCGTGCCTTCTGTGCGATTAGGTATATGCCACGAATAGTAAGCAAAATTTAAATCGTCATTTATTAAAGCACACCAACACATGGAAAAATACATATTGTTTAATTTGTGGCTAGTGTAATTATGCCACGAATAGTAAGGCTGCTTTAGAACATAATCGACGTAAGGGAATGTCGGCGAGATGTTAATTGTATGTTCAAGCTCATTCAAGACTGCCTCGAGTTCGTAAGAAAAATGCCTTTCAAGCTAAGATAGGATAAAGGGGTTATATTTACAAGTCTCAAAAACGACAGGATAAACTCAATTCGCTTTCAAATTAGTACAATTTTACTTAAACACCTGCAATGATAACGCAATGTTTACAAACCGCTATCACCTATACACGACACGGCATTTGTAAATATTACACCAGGGCCTCTAGTGTTAATCTGAATCGCGAATTAGCAAACTAAACTGCAAAACTTTGTTCAATTAATTTCTTCCGAGATTTCTTCAATAATAACAAACTTACCTACCCATATTAACTTTGATAGGTATTAAAATGCAAACATTTTTTTTATAGATCCTCATATCGGACATTTATACACGTCGTTAATAGCAGATGCTGCTCAAAGATGGCAACAACTCATACGTCCAAACGTGAAAATAACGTTTGCGACTGGCACCGACGAGCATGGCTCCAAAATTCAACAAGCTGCACTAAAAAACAACATGGCGGTGGATAAATATTGTGATCAAATTTCTTCCTCATATAAAGCAATGTCGGCCAATTTCAATGTGGGATATACCAGTTTTATTCGGACAACCGATGAGGCTCATATGAAGACTGTTCAAGAGTTTTGGGTAAGTAATAAGTTGGTGTATGTACGTCGGTGTAACATTGTTTTTGTTGATCTTTATTGCGTCTTTTATGAACAACACAAGGGAACAAATTCCCATGCCTATGCATATTACTTTGGTGATAAGAAGTGTTGTAGATGCAGCTTTAATGACTACCAGATTTGCGTTTCATGTAGAGGTTTTGAAATATCATTTTTCTGCTTAACCATAAATCGTAAGCTCTCTAGCGGCAAACTTAAAAACTTGCAACGTGCGCATGAAGTTGGTTGAATTTGAAGGTTAAATTTTGAGGGGTTTTCACTTAAACAAAAATGACATCTGACACTAGGCTTGAAGGAGCGAATGGTGCGTTGACCTATCTTCCGCCTGGTTTGTAATGTCTCAACAGGGAACAGTTCGGCGTGGTTATCGCCGTATGGGACAGCGCGACTTGACCCTACTGCGTATTATAGGACAGCTCGCAGTGGAATGAATTCTTACGCATCCGCATATAAAGCCCTGATCGATGGTGGGGATGATTTATTACGCACTGCGTGAGAGGAAACGCCGTGTTGATTTTAGTTAAAATTGTTGTGTGATGCATATCCGTTACCACCACAACACAGAAATATGCCCTTGAGCTTCACCTTGACCTACCTTCCAAAGTCATCGCCAGGCGGCAAGCGATCTTGAAGTGGTCCATGTTTGCCCCTGTATAGTGTATATCTACTAAGCTACCCATATCTACGTTTGACCTACAGTAACATTGTTTTTTAGTTTAAACAACAACGATTGAATGACCTTCAGTGACATTACGTTCAGGAATGAACTTTGACCTTCAGTGACATTGAATCATTTGAAGTCACAGTCCGGTGTTACTTACCTACCCACCTGGTGTACTATAAGCACCCCGCATTGAGTAAATTTTTCAACCTCAATGCAACGTTGTTGAGTTAATGGCAGAATTCACAAATTAATTATTACTTTATTGCATATGTTAAATTGACATTTTAATAGGTTTGAAGTACGTTAAGTCGCTCTTTAACCGTGAAGGTAGATGAAAAGATAAATTTTACCGTGAGGATAGATAAAATGAAACAGATGATTGTGGATTCTAATGACATCTGTCATTCTTATTTTAAGTGCGACGCGGTGCACGATTAAAATGACGTTCAGAGCATATGACAATACTGTTTCTATGGAAACGGCCGCGACGGTAGAACCTTAGCTTGCTACTTTTTAAATTCAGAATTTTCAGACGATGATTTATATGGGTTCTGGTACAAAATAAAGTTTTGTTATTATGCACGACGATAAAGGGAAACTAACCATCTCGTGACAGTTAATAATACTCAATGGTTAAAATATTCCTTTATCGGCTTATATGACAAATAACTATTACTTTTCTGTAACATAAACAAAATAGATATTTCATACCGTAATTTTAGGTACTAGGAAAAACGCGGTAAATGACTTGGTGTCAGGGGGAAATCAATACGTAAATTAGTACACGAAACGCATTAGGGGAACTAAACCAAATTACAAAACTATTACAACTTTTGTTTTACTTATATAGTCAATACTTTTTCGATAAAGAAGTACAGCCTACACAAACAGGTTTACTGCACGGTACGTTATACGGAAAATGCAAGAACTTACTTAACAAGTTAAAAAGTAATCGTAAACGATTTACATAAAGCGCATTTCCACTTGCATTCATTTCCCATTTGTAAGATGCAACTTCTGTTAAAATCGTAAAAATCCGGCAACAAATATGAAAGATAGCGTTGCACATGGGCAATCCATTGTTGACGTGCTACTTCAATTTCAGTTTATGAGAAGAATTTCATTTCAATGCTTTTCTAAATAAGAAAGTTGGAATTGCGCATGCGCAAACCTAAATTTTAAAACTAATGTTAGATTTTCCTTTGTTCCAAGCGCCTAAGTAACAAATTTCACTTAAATAGTTCCATAGATAAAAAAGTTGGCACGGCGCATGCGCAAAATAAAATTTTGAAACTGGCGCTAGATTTTCCTTTATTCCAAGGGCCTATGTATCACATTTCATTTAAATTCTTCCATAAATAAAAAAGTTGGCACTGCGCATGCGCAAAGCCAAATTTTGAAACTGGCGTTTGATTTTCCTTTATCCCAAGTGCCTATGTATCAAATTACGTTTAAATTCTTCCATAAATAAAAAAGTTGGCACTGCGCATGCGCAAAACCAAATTTTGAAATTGGCGTTTGATTTTCCTTTATCCCAAGTGCCTATGTATCAAATTTCGTTTAAATTCTCCATAAATAAAAAAGTTGGCACTGCGCATGCGCAAAACCAAATTTTGAAATTGGCGTTTGATTTTCCTTTATTCGAAGTGCTTCTGTATCAAATTTCGTTTAAATTCTTCCATAAATAAAAGTTGGCACTGCGCATGCGCAAAACCAAATTTTGAAATTGGCGTTTGATTTTCCTTTATTCCAAGTGCCTATGTATCAAATTTCATTCAAATACTTTTATAAGTAAAAAAAGTTTGCAATTCGGTTTATAAATGGTCGAGATGCGAAAAGGGCACTGTGAATTTTGAATCGATTCGATTCAACTTTGGGCATTGCGTATTATATGGCTAAAGCTATGCCCATATTGAATTTCATGCAATTCAGTTCATAACTAACGGAGATGTAAAAACGATCGAACATTTCTAAACAAAGTTATCGTTCACACGGACAGATAGATGGACAGACAGACAAAGGAACAGACGGAGAGACCAACCGGCAGGCGACAGATAGCAATGCAAAATTATAAACGATCTCTAGGATCGTTAATAAACGGCAAAAGTGTAAAATTATGGAACATGTAAAAAACGGTTTTTTTGTTTTTTTACAATAACTTTTTTTGTAAGCGGTACAGAAAAAATTCCTTCCTTGGTACAAGACTCGACACCATAACGAACCAAATAGCGAAAAAAGTAGAACAATAGCTCTTAAGATAAAAAAACTAGTAGCGTCGCAAAGTTAGCGGACGGACGGACGGACGGACGGACGGACAAAGTGGCCACAATAGCGCATTTTTTTTATTTTTGTGGAAATGCGCTAAAAATGAAATCAAATAGCAAGAAACTCAAGAGAAACATGTTATTGGGCGTATTTTTTTTTTAAATTACTCCAATGTTTACTTATACAAAATTAGGTTGAGATAAAAAGGAATAGGATGGATATAGATCATATATATTATATTCTTTGTTAGAAAAAATGTTTACTTTGCTCATACTATATTCACGTGCACTAAATATTAAACATAGTTAAATGCTGTCGATATATCAAGAAAAGTAATCCACCCCAAAACTAACAATTATAGGAAGTAAGATGTTAAGTTATAAAACAGTAATAATAATAAAGTAGGACTTTTTTTAGTTTTGCGCGCATATGAATTCTGTTTCTGGGAAATATTGTAATCCCAACTTATTAACAAAATAAAAATATATTTTAAACTACATTAGCTACATTAGCCGATAAAAAATCCATTAGTTTCCTAACGGACGGAAATTTTGATTATGGTATAATCACATATATTGGCCGTTTTATAATGATCATGTCTGAAAAACTGATGGAATACTCACATCCATTCAATCATAACCGAGGTGTTACCTTCCCTTCTACTTTAATATTAATTGATGTAAAGTAGGGTTCTAATCTAATTCAAACATTGTCTAAAATTTAACGTTTTATTGCAATATTAAGGTACCCGTACCTATAAACTATTACAACTTATAAGGGAACTTTTCTGGATTTAAGGTAAGAAAACTGGCCAATGAGCAATTCATAGTCCAATAATTGTACAATATCAGCCTCAATAAACATGACGGACAAATTATTTAAATTACTTTGGCCAAGAGAATTTCGTAAATGATTTTTTCTCGTTTAAGACAGGAGAAGGATCGTTCGCCACTAGCGTTACAAATAGACATGGTTAAAAATATTTTCAAAATAGTTTCCACATTGGAGAATGTAGATTGCAGCCCGTCAAGTAATACTTTATATATCTGGACACAATGGCTTTGCAATCCCACAATAGTCTAGTGGTATTGGGGGTTGTCGTTGTCGTTTATAAATTCCAGGACGTACAATAAACAAAAATAAATTTTTCCCAGAGATTTTTTCTTGGTAGTTATTAGTTTTGGAGGCCCCCAGACAAGATGAGGCCCCAAGCACGAGCTTATTGTGCCTGAGCGGTGATCCGCCTCTGATACCGCCAATCCCCTAATTATAACATGTTTAGCGCTACCATCGTATAAGCAAATCGTAATAATTATTTGATATCAGAATAAGAAAGATTCCTTATTCAAGGGCGCTAACGCTAACGACGAAGTGAAAACACATAAACAAAATATCGCAATTTGACAACAATTCATAATTTTTTTAAACTCATTACCAAACTCATTACCAAAGGCATTTACAGAGAAATTGCCTTGTCATGCATCGAAGGCGCGAATACTCGTCATTTAGGTAGGTATAGTTTGCACCTAGGTGAGGACCATTGAATTTATAACTGTCAAATTCAATGTTGCGACCTTTTTCTACTTGGTCAGATGAAACAAAATGTAATTGTACAGCAAGATCAAGGAATAGGTGCGTTTTGTACTCGTTACGTCCATACTTTCTTCGAGATCGTTTATAATTTGTATTACTGTCTGTCTCTCCGTGTACCTACACGATATCTTTGTTTAGGAACGTCCAATCGCTTTGAAAAATGGTACACATAACACATGTAACATGTTCTTAAATAAGAACTACTGTTTTTCAGCTACGTAGACCATCCGGGTCCTCAAGTTACAGCCCAAACACAATCTCGAGGATGGTTGGGTATCAGTTAGTGTATCGGATTTTTGTATTAGTTGTTAGTATTAAAATCTCGCGATGGCTTACTGTGCATTGTTCGGATGCAACAATGTGCAACTTTTTGATTTACCCGACCATGCTAAACAAAAAGAATTTGGGGGTCTGTTAACCACCATTTTGAATGTCTGGCTAAAGAAAGAATGCGCAAGAATCTCTACAGGAGTTCATTTATCCCGATTATGAATGTTGCAAAAAAATCTTGACATTCGGGGGGGCTATGGTTAACGCTAGCGTCCCATTACATTTCAAATAGCAAGCGCTGAATCAAATCTAGTAGGTACCACAAAACTTTGGGTTCAGATCACTGGTAGAGCAAAATCTTCATGATTCAATAATTTCGCGGCGGAAACTTTAAAATGATTTGGCTTTATGCAAAATAACACAACAGAGAGACAGATCGACGACATCGAGATTTTGTTTGATCCGGATTCCTGGTGCTTCAAAACGTGTATTCTCGTAAAGTGTAGGGGGTGATTTAGATTTTCCATTGTGTTAATTCCAGAGGAAATACAATCATACCGAATGCCGAAATAACAGTAAATTTCCCTAGGTGCATAGCAAACAATACTTCATCTTGCTAAGTATAAAATTAAATTATGTATGAAAATAATGAGGAGTTCAAAGGTCGATTTGCAAAATAATATTAAATAAAGATGCACGATGTTATGGCATATGGCAACATTGCAAGTAGGAACCTGCAAGGCCATTGCAAGGCATAGCCATGGAGGTTGATTAATTAATAATATTTCATGTGGTTAGGCAACACACTTAACAGATAACTATTTCAACGAAACGTATTCCGTTGTACTTCTTATTATTAAGTATTCTTTGCTAGAATCTTGAAATTCGTGACCTGATTTTTATTGTTACCCAATTTGAACTGGTTTGCGGATTTCCTTTTGCTTTTGTTGTCTTTGTTAATTTAGTTCATGTATATGTGTGGACTATGTCAGGGTTTTTGTCCAGATGAAGGTTTCCCTGACATCGCCTGGTTGTGTGCGTAGTGTATTTTATCTTTTCTTACGCACAAATTATGAGTTTTTATTCAATTTCCTTTCCCATTTGTGTATAAAAAGTACCGTCAGTTTTAACACCCGACTGTTACCCAGATTCGAACAGGTCGCGAAACGTCTTTCGTTTGTGCATGAAAGTAACGGTGTACTGTGGGCGTCGCTATTATGAAAAAATAATTAAAATGATTTTTTTTTAATTTTTCTTTGCGTCTAAATAATAATGTTAGTAAAATATTGCAACATGGTTAGCCTGTTATAAATAACTACCGAAACATTTCTATAGTAATTGGTCAATGGAAGTCGTTGACGTAATGAGTATTCTACTCACAATGCAGCGCTGTCTATAGGGCTGCCTACATATGCATTCTCTTCTATTGATTGCATGGTGCTATGTAAACATACTCAGTGATGACGTCATAATACACCGATTATGTGCCCGCAAACTAGTGGAAATGCTACCCATAGTAATGAATCTGTAATTTCTAACGGATAAAATTGTATATTTAAAGGATATAATCTAGTTAAACTACTCTGAACAGCTAATGTAGTGATTCATCACACATTATTTCTTAAACGGTTATTTTCAGAAAACTCTTAGCAAGAATGGTTACATATACTCTTCTAAGTACAGCGGATGGTATTGCGTTTCCGACGAAACCTTCCTAAGCGAATCTCAATTAAAAGAAACGGTCAACTCTAATGGTGAACGCACATTAGTTTCATTGGAAAGTGGACACCCTGTAGAATGGACGGAAGAACAAAACTACATGTTTACTCTCAGCAAGTTTCAAAAGGAGCTTATGAAGTGGCTCAGCAAGAACGGTAAGTTGCCCTCGGGTATTTGTTTCGACGCCGAGCTCTCCATTTTCTAATTTTAGATGGCGTGGTAAAACCTAAGAAGTATCAAAAGATTTTATGGGATATGATTTCCAACGAAGAGTTGGCAGATGTGTCAATATCGAGACCTAGTTCACGTGTTCATTGGGGTGTAAAAGTTCCTGGTGACGACACACAAACCGTTTACGTATGGCTGGATGCTCTCGTTAACTATTTAACAGTAGCGGGTTACCCCGATATAGAAAGCGAAACTTTTAACAACATATGGCCGCCCGAGGTGCAAGTTATCGGAAAAGATATTATAAAGTAAGTAGGTATTCCCATACGGCTCAATAAACTCAAGCGCCTTATTGATTTGTAATTTAATTTTAAACTCACCCAACGGTTCACTGGGAATTGCCGGCCATCGACGATAATTGCATTTGTCTAATTACCGATAGTAGATGTGGCAGAATCATTTTTCGACGTGTACAAATTCCTCGGAAAGCGACATATGTTTGCGTTAGTTCTTATGTTAAGCACGTAAAATCAATTTTCGATGTTACGTTTTCAGCAAATACGATGTTTACCAATTGAACTCCGTATACAGATATTTACTCTACTGAATGGGAAATATATTTTAAAGAAACATCCTTTAACTTCTTTCCTCGCATGAAAAGAAGTTTAACTACCGAATGACGGGAAATATTTACCCTGTCAGAAGTTGAATATTTTCAGATGGCTATACGCCTATACGAGCGCCTATATATTTAATTCATGAAACATAAATTTATTGCGCACAATTGCTTTGTTTTTTCGATATAAACACGCTTATGATTTCAGTTCTACTTCTAAATGAAATTCTGTCATAATTTTATTGAGAGTTACTTTATTAAAATTTGGCGCCCAACGTGGGGCACGAATTAGCAGAAACTTCCATACATTAAAAAACTATGCTTAAATTAAGAAGGAAAGATATATGTACATCACTAATCACGATGATACCAATTAAATTTGACCTCTAATCGAAAAATCATCATTATTTTGCAAATTCTTTAATGTTGAGTGAATGAATGAATGAATACATTTTTCAACATATTCTTAGTCTTTAGTTTCTGGATTCAGAGATGCTTAATTCACCAGTATTCTTTGCGTCATTCTTTCACAATGGATTTCATTTCATTTCCATTACTTGTGAAATTCCACATACCGGTTGTGGTAATATAAAAGGCATCTGTTGACCGTGTAGGCGGACGGCCATTTAATTACCTTTAATCGGTAATCATATCACCTTCACGTTATTTTCTACAAGCTGGCTCAGGTTTCTGCACTCCAACCCTAAACCAGAGTTCACTCCTTGCGCCTATAAAGATTAGAACGCTGTAGCACAATTACCGAAGTCAGACTAAAGTAAATTCAAATTTTTAAATTCAAAGTTACCCGTTCAAGCCTGTAACAGGGGGTCGCTTGACCGTTTCCAAAAATTTAGTTTTGAATTAGGGAAATCTGCACATGTATCGCTTCATAGCGAACGTTAACGAAAGTATGTCTATATAACAAGAAACGTATTGCGGAAAGCGAGCGCGGTTACCACGATCTCTTGGGAGCTAAAAGTTTCGTTCCATTCTGTTTAAAGTCGAGCACGTGACGGAAGACCTAGTTAAATTGGACAAAATAATATCGACACAGCGGAGATTATAATTTTATTCCTGTGCATAACCTTTCCGAAATTGAAGCCTTTTTGCTCAGATTCGCAATACGTAGCGACCCTTTTGTTTTTCAATCATCACGTAGTTTTCTGTACCATTAAGGCGGTTTGTTTCCATATTTCTAAAGAGAGAAGCATTTTCCAAGGAGAGATCAGATCAATTGTTACCAGAAGAGAATATTACCCAAGTCGATATTTGTAAGTTAAGCCGGCCTGTGTGGCTAAAGCTGAACTGTGGTGCTAAGGGTCCCTGGTTCGAATCCGGCATAGATATTTGTAAACGTATAGCGGACTGGGTTCGTAGAACAGCCTTGGCTGAAACCTCGCCCACTCAAAAATAAAGGTAAAATAAAAAAAAATAAAAAATAAAATAAATTTTTTGATTTAGTTTTAGGAATTTGCATAAGTAATTTTGTTCGAAGTAGTTTTAATATTCCTAAAGGAATCGATCCGTGAAAATGATTTGTATGAAACAGATTTTGTAGTATATTTATTGATAAGAATCGAATCCAAACATAGGATTTTGGTTCATTGATTGGAATATTGCAAGGGCATTCCCTCATATGGAACCATCTGTATAGTAGAGCGTTTTGGGTTAGAGTCCCTCTTCTGAGTTTATATTTAACCTGTATGTTCCTTTCAATGCCATCGTTCCTGCTACCAAGTGTAGAGGAAGCAGATTTATAAGGGTCTTTAGGGTTCCTGTGGGGGATGTGGACGTCACCCTAGTTATGTCGAAGCAGGTCACCCGTTGCACTCTGTTTAACCTTTGTGTGCTTCTAGTGCCGCCACACCAAAGCCAATCGTGTCCAGGTCCACAAAGTCCTGATGGTCTTGTTCATTATTTAATAGAAAGTGTCGCTCCTAGGTACTTGATTTTGTTCTTCATTGCGAAAAGCGTTCCGTAACGGAAACGAGCTTCTGCTCCCAGGGGATCTTTTCCGTCCTTATCTCTCACACCATTGATTGTATGAATTTGAGAGCAGCTTGCGTTACACACACAGTACTCTCAAGTTTACCGTAAGCTATGATGGTTAGAATGACCTACAGCTTTAAACACTGCTCCGTCAGGATCCTGTAATTGTAACGGGAGCCCACCAGGCCGGTTACATTTTTCGAATTTTTAGATACATGTAGGGAATGCAATCCCGCAGCAAAATCTCAATCCCGGTATTTTCGGGATTGTTAGATGTTAATCCCGCGGGATCCCGGTATTTGCGGGATCCCGCAAAACTTTAAATAAATTGGCAAATAATCAATTCTGTGCGGTTAACTTCTGTATTAAAATAAATAAATTATTACAATATTCAGCCTAACTTAGAACTAAAAAAAAACCTCGCCTGTAAAGCACAAAAAGGTGAACTTCTAACGTTTTTAACGAAAAAACAATTATTTAAAAAATAAATTCTCCGTTATGCGTTTTATTAAGCAAATCCCGCGGGATCCTGCTCCATTTATGTGCGGGATTAATCCCGCAAAAATGCTGCGGGATCCCGGTATTGCATTCCCTAGATACGTGTAATGTGTAAAATTGTATAAGTACCGCTTTCTACAAATAGTAAGCGCGAGTAGGTTTAAAAGCAATAGCAGACGAGTTTTAGAAAACTTGTGATTTTGCCACGATAGCAGTGGACCGTCCTACTTCGTTGGTTCAGTCTGGGTAAAGCAGAGATAACGCAACTGCGAGTTGGAAATTGGCCGAGGGGTCGCGGGTGCGTATTTTGCGTTGGGTCCGTTTCAGTTTTTTTACGCGACAGCATAAATAGCGGAGTAAAAACAGAAAGGCGCATGAGTCGCCATAGCGTGTAGGTCGTCCGCTAAGTTTGCGGTTACGAAATTAGATCGCGAAGTTAGTGTGAAAATCGACAGCAATCAAGCGTTACTTTCCCACTAAATAAAATATTATACGCGTGCATTATGGTCGCAAACTGCGCATATGTTGAGAATCTTTGTAGTCTTAAGATATTACGGCCACTTTTAGATCTTCCATTAACCAACAAATTATTCTTCGGAATATTCGAAGGTCGCTGGTTACACGATGGACTAGACTAGAGAGTATGCTGTCGAAAACGACCTTGGTTCTTCTCTGTGCTCACACCAAAACGAGTCCTGCTGTGGATGCCATACAACTCTTCGAATTGCTCTAATGTCATCTCTGGTTTTTCTTTCGGATTACCATTGGGCATGTTCTTAACCCCTTATACGGGTATATAATGTCGTTGATTCTTTTCACAACCCTCCCACTTTTTTGCAGTGTTGGTGATAAACCCTTTCGCCTCTGCGGATTGTACATTATACAACGGCCCGTGTTTAACTGAACTGTGGTGCTAAGGGTCCCTGGTGCGATTCCGGGTTCGGACATGGATATTTGTAAATGTATAGTGGGTTGGGTTGGTAGAGTAGCCTTGGCTGAGACCCCGCCCACTCAAAAATAAAGGAAAAACAAAAAATAATAATTAAAAATACCACATCATCTGTCCTACTTCTCAAGCTCGCACATCGTAACTTTATTTCATCCTGTCACTGGTACTCAGAAGATCTGATATCACCAAATTATGAATACCGTCCAGTTTTCGTCTAATGTCGTTGACATACTCTTTACCCGCCATGTCTTCACCATCCTTGCTGCTAAAATTCAAGTGTCAGGGCAATCTTAGTTCCTGACCAAAAATCACACTTGCGGGCGTTTGTTTCGTCGATTCATGTACCTACAGCGGATCGATATGCTAGGACAAACAGGTGTAGGTAGATGTTAGTCCCCGTTCCTTTGTCGTTCCGTTTGACTGAGGATGTAGTTTTGCTTTTATGAATGTTTAAAAACTTACAAAGATCCTGAAAAACGGTCGATTCAAAATTTCTCCCTTGATCGGAATGTAATTCTAGTGGCGCCCTGAATCGACAAAGCCAACACTCGACCCTTTGCTGAAGTAATCCATATGGTCACTAAAATATACTTGTTGTCGCTATATCAATGGCAATTCTCTCCAATGGGCTTTCTGCGTTGTACTGTCTCATAGAAGCTGTTGGTCGATTCCAAAGTGACCCCTACTAATTTCTTCGTGCAGATGTTTCAAGAGTTCTGGAATTTTACTCCTCGGAATCAGAAACTATGACCTCTGTTGTCCATCGCCAATCTCCAGAATGCGCATGCGCCCATTACGTCTTCACATTGAGAGCAGAGAATAAGGAGCTACCTCTTGCCAAACGGGTTGTTGTCCATTTTTCTTCCACTCAATAATCGGTTTCAAATCCGGATCAGTTTCTTGTTCAGATACAATCCGTCGTCTTGACAATGCTTCAGCATTCCGTTGGCTTGTCCCGGTCGTATTCTTGTATTCTTTCGATCCATCTTGCAATCGGTATCCAAAACGAGTCCGAGTCCGATCTAGGATAACACAGTGACGGAGCAGTCGTTAAACGCCTTTTCAACTCCTGAAAATCAGCGGGACACCCTTCTGTCCAATCAAAAATGTTGGCATCTTCAGTAAGGCGAGTCAGAGACCCGCCACAAATCGGCGAGAGAAATTCTTACCTGAGATTTATCAATTGGAATTGACCATTCTCTAACGGCTCTGGCCTTCTCAGGCACAAAAGCAACGCCACGGTCTGACCCAACATG